TGACAGCACAAGTGTGTGCTGTCAGTATTAATTAGTACAATACCATGTCTTGTACCAGTGTGCACACACACACACTGGTACAAGACATGGTATTGTACAAATTAATACTGACAGCACACACACACACACTGGTACAAGACATGGTATTGTACTAATTAATACTGACAGCACACACACTGGTACAAGACATGGTATTGTACTACATAATTATATTGTAGGAATTTGTTTGACTAGTGAAATCAGAGAGTGCAATTGATTCATTATTGACCATGTATAAGAAGTTTCAAAATTATTAAATCAGTAAATGGTCAAACAGCCCTATCTAAATGTTTCTGTAATCATAAGGCATTAAAAAAGTATTTCTCCTTAACTGGGTTAAATGTTGATGAATACAAAATATAATTCTTATACCTTTCAGTTAGAAAAACCATCATGCATCGGGTGACAATTGAAGAATGTAGTGTCGCTCTTTAATGTATATATATATATATATATAGCTTGTGGCGCTGCCTAGTGAGTGTTGTATATAACATCTCAGTTACATCTTCAAAATGTCCCCAAGAAAACGTAGAACCTGTGACCACTCAAAAGCATATACGACATAACAAACACCAAATTATAACCATAGGGTGACATCACAGATATGTATAGGGTGACGTCATGGACATGTATCATCTTTAATAGGGTGGATTTAGACAACTTTAAACACACTTTGCAATAATGTATAGACAAACATATGGATGAAATCACACTTACATTTTCATGAATCCAACAGCAAACAAGAATGCAAGACCGATCACACTTCCTCCAGCAATCGCTAGGGCGTACAGAGAATCATCAGTGTTTGTGATTGTAGAAATGTTTCGTCCTAAGAGATAGAATTGAAGGTGCGATTAAGCTTACTTTATTATGTTCAGCTAAGTATAGAAAAGAAATAAAATATTCTACATTTGTTCACTTTATAGTCTATCCTGTGGCTGATTAACCCTGACTACGAATGAAAAGTGCAAAAAAAATCTCTTCAGGATTGTCCCATGTGTAAAATACATTTTCAGGGTTGTGTGTCGGCCTATACAGACATATAGGATGCTCCTCAGATAGAGAATGCGATAAAACACTTTAATGGGTAGATGATCTGAGAACCCAGCAAAAGAAGTATAGCAAACAAAAGGGATAATATATCATCAAGTAGGATACATGGTCTAAGAACCCAGTAAAAGAAGTGAAGTAAACAGATGAAGTGATATATCATCATGTAGGCTACATGGTCTAAGAACCCAGTAAAAGAAGTGAAGTAAACAGATGAAGTGATATATCATCATGTAGGCTACATGGTCTAAGAACCCAGCCAGAGAAGTGAAGTAAACAGATGAGGTGATATATCATCAAGTAGGATACATGATCTGAGAACCCAGTGAAAGATAAGTGAAGTAAACAGATGAAGTGATATATCAACAAGTAGGATACATGGTCTGAGAACCCAGTAAGATAAGTGAAGTAAACAGATGAAGTGATATATCATCAAGTAGGATACATGGTCTGAGAACCCAGTAAGATAAGTGAAGTAAACAGATGAGGTGATATATCATCATGTAGAATACATGGTCTGAAAACCCAGCAAGAGAAGTGAAGTAAACAGATGAGGTGATATATCATCAAGTAGGATACATGATCTGAGAACCCAGCAAGATAAGTGAAGTAAACAGATGAAGTGATATATCATCAAGTAGGATACATGATCTGAGAACCCAGTAAAAGTAGTGTAGTTCATAGATGGGGTAAGATGTCATGCTGTAGTTTGTAGACAGAGTAATACATCATGCTGTAGTTCATAGATGGGGTAATACATCATGCTGTAGTTCATAGATGGGGTAATACATCATGCTGTAGTTTGTAGACAGGGTAATACATATCCTGTAGTTCACAGATGGGGTAAGACGTCATGCTGTAGTTTGTAGACAGAGTAATACATCATGCTGTAGTTCATAGATGGGGCAATACATCATGCCGGGTACATGATATGAGAACCTAGTAAGAGAAAGATAGTCAGGAGTATAATCCATAGAAGTTGTAGTATGTCATGGTGGGTGTATGATCTGAGAATGAAGCAAGAGAAGGACATTAATGATGAACCTGTTCACTAGATATTGTATTTACTTACTTACATTTTGCAAGTAAATAGTGTTGAAAAACACAAGACTGATGAAAACATAATTCTGCATTAGGAGAAGATGCCATATTGATGAAAGATAAAATAAATTGTTACAAGTACATCAAATCAGGTAAGTTCTGAAAAACAAAGATAGTTAAAGAATCTTTCTAAATGAGCAAAATGAAATTATCATTGGTCAAATGTTCACTTGTTCCACCAATTACGTTACAAGAGCCACTCACACAGCTAATGACTTTGTGTCAACTTCAATTCTACCGGATACAATATAAATCTGTGGAAAAACCAGTACATGCTGTGTAATGTTACACTGTTATTGGATATTATTGTTTATTTTATTTTAGCAATAAATGTATTATGGTTAGGTCTCAGTCTCTTCTGAATGAGCACTTTTGGCCCTTCAAAGGAAATAGGGGCATGCAGCTGACGTTGATGGAACCTGGGTTATAGTGCACTTCAAAGATGGGGGCATGCATCTGACGTTGATGGAACCTGGGTTGTGGTGCACTTCAAAGATGGGGGCATGCATCTGATGTTGATGGAACCTGGGTTGTGGTGCACCATGTTTAAAAAAAGATGAAAATGGAAGAAAAAGAAATATTAAAAGATTCAGATGAAGATGGATAACACATCTTTAATCGTCCAAAGGGGGAACCCTGATTATTTTACCAAAGAACACCGATGAGTGCAAGACAAAAGGCTGAGCTATTAAAAACAACGAATACAAGACAAAAGGTTGAGCTATTAAAAACAACGAATACAAGACAAAAGGTTGAGCTATTAAGAACAACGATGAGTACAAGACAAAAGGCTGAGCTATTAAGAACAACGATGAGTACAAGACAAAAGGCTGAGCTATTAAGAACAACGATGAGTACAAGACAAAAGGCTGAGCTATTAAGAACAACGATGAGTACAAGACAAAAGGCTGAGCTATTAAGAACAACGATGAGTACAAGACAAAAGGCTGAGTTATTAAGAACAACGATGAGTACAAGACAAAAGGCTGAGCTATAAAGAACAACGATGAGTACAAGACAAATGGCTGAGCTATTAAGAACAACGATGAGTACAAGACAAAAGGCTGAGCTATTAAGAACAACGATGAATACAAGACAAAAGGCTGAGCTATCTTTAGAGATTAGTCCTTCAAGACATTTTCTTTAAATACCACTCTAATCTGGACAGTTGCTACCTACTTTATCTCTTTGTGTTCATTAGATTTAACTATATTTCTAATACATTTTGTATTGTTTTTGGTTAGAGGAAGATTTTAACATCGTGTCATGAAAGATAAGGAAATGATATATAATTAAACTGGAATAGAGTTGGTTAGTTTGTTTACTGTTTACCACACATCGAATCAGCAATAAATCTGAAGGCTTATAATTCTAAAAACCAGGTTTTGATACCCATGGTAGGCACAGCACAGAAATCCCTTTGTGTAGCTTTGTATTTAACAAACAAAACTTGTTTTGTTAATTTAGTTTGCAAATTTTAACTTTGTATTTCAACAAATATTAGAGATACTGGAGAACTAAACAAATAAAACATTAAAACAACAAGAAAAAGACATAAATATGGCCAACAGGCTTATACTGTTTGAATACGTTGTAGGATAAAAAAAAACGCACTTTTTTTGCAGACTTCTCCAAAATAATAGAACCCATGAGTGCACGTGCATATTCTTGATGTTAAGCTGCAGTAGCTGTTGGGTTGTAAACACTGCTTGTCAGTTTTACATCGGTCTCCAAGATACGCTGAAACAAAACATAATAATATATTGTTACGTCCCTGGACGTTAGTTAATTTTCCATAAAAATTCTATCCGAAGAAACTTTAGCGATACAATAATATAATAATACTGACAATAACTGTTATTACAAAAGAAGATCCTGTATTAGACAATAATACTGACAATAACTTTTATTATAAAATATGATCCTGTATTAGACAATAATACTGACAATAACTTTTATTACAAAATATGATCCTGTATTAGACAATAATACTGACAATAACTTTTATTACAAAATATGATCCTGTATTAGGCAATAATACTGACAATAACTGTTATTACAAAATATGATCCTGTATTAGACAATAATGCTGACAATAACTGTTATTACAAAATATGATCCTGTATTAGACAATA